CAATAGCATTTCTACACGGTTTTAGGGTATTTCGCTGAAAATTGACGTAAAAATTTGATAAATATTTATGGCTACATATTTTTGGCCAGCACTGTAAAAGGCGCACTATCAGAAAGCACCCACAGCGCCGGAAGTGCCTCCTTTTTTGCTTCTCATGACTTGATAAATAAACATTGTGGACTACTGGCGCCACGAAAGTTTTATTCGGCAAGAACTATATACTTGCTGCTAAAATGGATCACAGAACCCGATGCAACAACCGTGTTTTTACTGAAGACTAAACGGCAGGTCGTATTCCATTTAAGCAAGCTATTTCTAGGTTTGACGGATCGTTCCATTCCACCACACTCCTAAACGAGTCGCGCACACCGCCTCTGTTCTTGAAAGCAAAGCACCACGTCATGACTCACGGCGAGGTTCAGGACAGCGCTCATGAAATATTCTTGACAAAGCGAGTAAACAAGCTTGATAATCCTCGCATCCCGCTGATGCCGCCATGCCATGGCTTAGGGCTTCGTCGGGGAGGAATAGGCGAACGTCGAGCGGATGTCAGCCCCCTCTGTCCGTAAAGTGGTCGTTGAATGCTAGTCTACCAGACTGAGTGTCTTACACGTTCACGATGTGATGGCTGAAGGCCAAGACATGCAGAAAGAATATGCATATAGAGTAAGCAGAAGAAATGTGGAAAAGTTTGTGGTCGGAGACCTGGTTTTATTTAGTGCTAAAAACCTTCCTTCACATGCAGTCTCTGCTGTCTTTAGGACAAAGCTCTGTCCACGGTTTATGAATCTTTAAAGTTCGTGGCCAAGCAAGGCCTTGCGTATACGCTAAACCTTCCGAGAAGGATGTGCACCCACCCGGCGTTGTATGTGGGCTTGCTTGGGCCGTACCGGGATCTGGCGCAAGTGATCGCGGAAGTGTTGGCACCCAGGCGGTGCTCAAAGGTGCGCGGCTTCCAAGAAGCCGAACCAGCAACTGGATGCCAACGAAGCCAGGCGTTCCATCGTCGCACGAAATGACGTATTCGTCTGCTTGACGGCAAGAAGCCACTCCGACGGAGCACGATAATCCTCAATGTGAGGCAGTCGGTGCACAAAGAGTTCCAGGCTCTCCATTTTTTTACGTACAGCGGTAGGCGACCTCGGCAAGATGCTCGGCAGAGTGCCGATGACAGCTGACCTTTTCCCTTAACGCTCAAAGAGCATCGCGAGTCACCTGACGGCGATCGACCAAGTCGTTATTGCCCGCCGCCGACTCTTCTCGTCGAGAATGGTGACGTCCACTACCACGTGGATAGCCTTGTGAGTCGACGGAATCGACGGGGTCTTACCCAATATTTTGTGAAGTGGTGGGGATACCCAAACTCGGAGAGCTCGTGGGAGTTTGAGGTGCCACTTCGGCAAGACTACCCGGGCGTTGTGGACGCTTATAAGAATCATGACGCTTGGTGTCGTCGTGCGCCCCTCGGCAGTAGCCCGGGATGCCGGAGGGACGTGAGCTGAGCTCAAATTATGGCCCTGAGTTGCTGTGGTCGTAGATTTACCCACGTGAGAAAACACGAAGCTCGCGGGGCGTCATATATTGTTCCATATGTCGCAGGGCGACAATACGTTGGAAGTCGGCGTTGCGCCTTGAGCTTGGCCATCTCAAATCTGAGATGGCGCTCAATGCGCAAGTCCGCTTCCTTGTGGCTTCGTGGTACGACAGACATCGAGGAAAGTTTCCGGTGCAGCTGCACCCATCGTAAGAGCTCATCATCATCTGCAGCCGTTTCGTTGGGGGTGAGCACCACAAGGATGGTGTGCGTTGCAGGTACAGGAGCGCCTCCCTTTTGATTTCGAGGTCGAGCGCGGTACCAATCCATTGAAATATCCTGTGGTACCAAAAAGCGAGCTCGGAGAGCTTTCAGCTGATCAAGCTCAGCTTGTGTAGAGACCGAAGGCCCTACTACGTAGATGCCTAACGATCGAGTGATCGCCTCTTTTGCTTCAGTAGCGGGACCCGCCGAGTGGAAGCCGTACTCCACACGAGGGTCTAAGTCCGAACGTGGATACGAGCGCATGAGAGCCGCCCTGTGGGCAGCCCTGTGGGCAGCCTCCAATTGCTGCTCCTGTGCCTTGTCGAGACGATTGGTAATAATACTACTTTTTCTGGAAGCCGAGAGGTCGGGAAACGGACACGTTGTCCGGAAGGTTTGAGCTGGAATCAACGTCGCGCCGTTGGCGCACCTCATCCTCCTCGTCTTCACATGCTGGAAAAAGAGTATATGACTCGCAGTTGACTTCCTCCAACTCCTCGACGAGGAAAATAGTCGCCCAGGGCGGGCGCGGTGTGTTGCGCTCATTAGCCGAGAACTTGGGATGTGCTTTCCGTGAAGCTGCAGACGTACTGTCCGGAGGTGCACCCTGTGCAGAAGAAGAAGAAGAAGAAGAGCTTTGCCCGCGATCGCCCTCGGAACCAGCTAGGTTAGGTGTTTTGCGTGTCGTAGACACAGGTTTCATAGAGCGGAGAATGTTTAATGTTGTTTTTACGAACGTGAAGGTACCTCAGACACGCGAGCCTCGAATGAGGCGACCGTTAAATGTGAATTGAGGATATTCACAGTCTAACGGGGAGAGTGTAACGGGGTTACACGTACTCTCGTATGAAAGGGCGAGTTGCACAAGATGGTGTGACCTTACATAGGTGTGGATTGCACAAGTTGGTGTAATCACACAGTGGTGTGACTACACCGTAACAAGAAGCTACCACGTGGCAGGATTGTCAGCAGTAATGCATAATACTACAGTAATTAGTATTTATTATATTAATCAGATATTACTATATAAATAAGGGAAACCTAGGGTTTTAGATATTGGCGGCTCTGCCGCACTAAAACAAATAAATACAGTTTTCATTTTAAGCGAAAGAGTTCACTTACCTTGGCTAAGGTTCTAAATACTCTTGGAGGCAGCGGTTTGCGATTAGCTGCACTCGTATTATATCTTGAAAGGAACGTGAGGTCGATGATCTTAGCTCAGCTTCTTACGGCAGCCCCGCTGCAACAGATTTACGATGCGAACCGCGTTATAACCCTCATAATCGTGCCACAAAAGAGCGGAATCGATGGTGAAGTCACCTGTAGTACTTTCTGAAAAAAAGTAAATGGCATAGTGTAGACTCGAGGCATCACCATGTACCGCAAGGGATGCTTACTACAGTGTGTGTGCATCGCTCTCACGCATGCGGCCTTGCCAAAAATCGTAATTAAAAATGCCTGTAAAAGTACTGCCACCGGTAAGGTTAATCAAGGATCAGATGATTTCATGGAACAAGTATCAAAGCAGTTATGGTTGCTCAATGTGAGCATGCAAAATACGCCAATCGCCTGTGGCTTTCTCCACACATTGGACTCGGTTGCAATGTGAAAGCTTGCTCTCATGACATGTCTAACTATCTGTCGTGGCGCGAAGAGCTCATCGATCAAATCAGCTTCTAACATCGGAAGTAGTTATTGACTCGTGATATAGTTCTTTCTTTTCCATCTTGTGATGAAAACAAAATCACGTCTAATCGTTAGAAATTCTTCGGCACTTTGTTTGAAGAATTGCGGCATATTTTTTGTCAAACCAATATAGGGGTCCCATGAGCGCTAGCTTTGCAATATTTCCTATACCTGCTCATATCACTCCTTCTTTGTATTGCCAATATCTGCAGAATTTTTTTCGAGGGTTGCGCAGAATAATCTTTTGCAATCTTCTCATAAGCAGATTTTGCTGATTTAAGGCAATCTTGAGCAGTATCGCACTATCTTGCTGCCATCATCTATATTGAAAGCTGTGGCTTTTACACAATAAAGTGAAAATGACATTTTTCGCGATTCAGTTCATCTGCTGATTCTCTTGTATAATGACCAGTAAGACCAGTAAGACCAGTAAGGCCTGTAGATCTTGATTCTTTTTCATCAGTATTCTTGTCTTCTTTAATTTTACCACAGTAGAGATCACATCGCTCCTGTTATTTCCTTTTGGCTCCTGACTTCCTCTCTTCCAGTAGTCTTTACGAACTTGTCACTCGTGTGTGAGCCATCAAGTGTCTGACTCTTATTGACATAACTTTAGCTCATGTTGAAGAAAACGTCAAATCTCGTCGTCAGTTAGCCAAGGCCTTCGTTCGCGATTTAATCTTCTTTTGTTCAACAGTTGGATCCTCTCATACAGAGCCATCTATAATCAATTCATACTCTGTGGGCTCATTGCCACTTCTCCCTTTCGACTCAGCTCAGGGCACTTGACAAAATCATTTATAATTAACCTGGACACTTCACCATAGCTTCTGAGGCGTCGTACCCATGCCAAAAGCACTTTTTCTAGCACACCTGAGTTTGCCACTATACGAAACTCAGCTAGCTGTGAAGTGCATGGCACCAATTTTTTTTCTATATTTGGATCATGGTGCTCCAGCCAGCTTAATTCTTTGATATATCTCTATTCGAGTTTGTGTCTCAGGTAGTGTCTTCACGCAAGATGCATAAAAATCCTAACCGTATTCAGCACCTTAAACGTTCTGCAGTTAGAGTATACTGTAATCGACAGTCTATCAGAGCTTTTAAAGACTTCATAAAGCCTGGTGAACTGATGCTGACAGCCAGCAAGTCGATGATGTGAAGTCAGTCACTTAAACAAACGCAACAATTAATGATGATTCTCTTTGACCTTGCCCAAAAGGCACAAATGAACTCAGTTTTTTTACAAGATCGTGCTGCGTACTAGGAATTGCGTTTTACCGTGGGAGGTTCGCCGATTGATCTGGAGTGGGAGCTCAACCCTTCATGCATCTCCATAGAGAAAGAAGGGGACAAAAAGGGCGTAAATATTGTTCTACGAAGGGGATATCATCTACAAGTACCCGGCATTCAAAAGATGACTCGATTTCCTCGCAGCTTGGCTAATGTCCATCATCTCTGGCGCACTCATTGTTCCCTCACATCCCGCACCCCAGCTGGCCTATAACACACGGAATACATGTTCCTGATTCAATGCAACACTCAGCCCTTTCTCAGAAGAAGTCGAATGATTTTGGTGCAGACAGCTTCGGTATGACGACCCTCATTCAAAATGGACGCCATTACTATTTCTATGAGAGAGTCTGCCGCAATATAAGCTATCAAAAATCTTGAGCTATTAATATAGTCTGTCAATTTTCTCCTTCTCTCGACGGGTGAATAATCATTTCTTGTCGCGTAATGATCGCTTAGAGAAATCGCGAGGAATCTACTGCTCAAACACATTCCATGATAGGAATGCTCTCCCCAGAAGTTTGAGGTACCCGTTCTCACTCGTAGCCTTCTATCTTAGCCACTGCTAGCTCGTGAATCTGTTGCACAGATAGCTGCAGTCCCAACTGGATGGCCATCTCTACATCTCCTACCCAGACAGCGATAGCGCTATTATCTCTGCTCATGAAGATTTGACACTAGGCAAAAGCAGATAACAAGACATACCACTTCTTATGGCGATATCACACATTCCTATAGATACCTGTTGAGATGCTCACGATATTTCACCGGTGCATTCTCGTGGCTGGTGAGAGCTTTTAGGCGAAAATTATATCTTTGATCTTGGGTGCAAATCGCACTATCCTCTCGGAACAAATGAGAAATAAATCGCTGAACAGCGTGTCTTGTAATCTGAAATGTCCAGTCTCCGCAGAGAATGGGCTTGACTATGGTGTTCCTTAACTAACTAAAAGTTGGTTGCATACGTACCTTCCAGGCGCCATATCGAGAGCTTTGAAGTAAGTAATATTGAGTATGCACGAAGACCACGAATAATGTCTCCCAAATTAGGTATTGCTAAAAAAGCACTAAATTACGCGCTTTACAACATAGTGTGGGGCTGCCTCAATGTCCAACCAGTTTATTTTATCATCTTTAGCGTACTTATAATTTCCTTGGTACTTGATTATGATACTGTACCATTTGTATTACGCGTACCCAGAGTGTGACGGGGTATCACGTACCCTGACAGTCAGGGGTGAGTCAAACAAGATGGTGTGACCGTACAATGGTATGGATTACACAAGCTGGTGTAATCACACAAAGATGTGGCTAAACCGTTTTAAGAAGCCACAACGTGGCGGGACCGCCAGTAGTTATGCACATTCATTAGGTTTTAGATTTTAATTTGAAATTGTAAGGTCTTACATATAGGCGTCTCCACCGCAAATAAAACATATAAATACCGTTTCAATTTTGAACGGCAGAGTGTATTTGCCTTGCTTAAGGTTTTTAAGTAGTCTTGGAGGTTGCCAATTGCGTTCCGCTACACTAGTACTGGTTCTGGTACAGAACATAAGGCCGGCGACCTTAGTAAGCTTCATCTAAGCAAAGACTACGACAACCCCGCTGCACCATGGGACTTTTAGCATCATGCTTTGATGTGATATGACCTTGAAAATCATAAAAAAGTATGTGCCCCATTAATTACCGATTGTTGTCTTGATAAGACCAAGTTGCCACAGCATACACCCCCGCGACTGAGTAGCTGCTTTGCGTGGTTGCATCGACGTATGAAACTTCTAATGTATCCAGATCGTCGTCGGTATCCCGAATCGTTTTGTTTGATCGATACTCTGTTTGTCGCGACGAACTTTCTTGGCGCTGGGCTTTCCTCGCGTTGCGCGGTCGATGGCCTTGTCATGCGTCTTTAAGAGCTCACTACAAAGGATTCTGAACGACCTAACATTAAACATGCCACGAGCGTAAAAATTCTGTAGAGATATCAATCGGGCCGTCAATGAAATTCGATAACAAAGTTCAGAGCACCTTGTGCAACAAGAGTAGGTCGAGTTGACCTTTGGTGACGTTATGCTGCATGGTACGAAAAACACAAGCCCGGATCTAATAGCTGGTGCAAGCGCAATGTACCTAACCTTTTTTGTGTTATATACGACCAGAAGTCTGCACCTTCCTAATACGGCATCCCTTAAAAAAACGAGACTAGAGAAACTGGGCACAAGATTCACATTGCGGTACACATGTTGCAGAATCCCTGGATTTTCTTGCAGTAATCAATGTATCAGCTTTGCGGGTCACCTCGAAAAAGGGCCGTTTTCACCGACGCAATACGACGACGTTTACCTTTGGGCACGATTATGAACAATGAAGTGGGGTTGCGATCTTCCACCAGTGTTTACAATATTAAGGTCCATAAAGCGCCGTTAAAATATAAAATCCGGTGGTTTTGATTGTTTTCTAAGTCGCTGATGCTATCTACCGTATTATCAATATCTTCTCTCTCACACACAAGGGTCACCCTTCAGTAATCGCTAACTAAGCAAAATGCTCAGTTTATAGCTTCATGGTCTCTCTAGGCATTTAGCTGATGGCCTTTGCATCTGTTCCAACGATAACACATATGATGGTTTTTTGTGTACGCTACACAGGCGATCTATACAGACTTTTGACCTGGACGTGCGGAAGACTATCAGCTGAAAGTTGCTATGTATTATCTTATTACACGGCTATACCTACTCGACCCTAACTAAGACATTTCATTGCTTCATTCCGCTGGGGTATTCTTTTCTTGATTTTAATTCTTTATTTTTCTTGTTCGAGTCGCCATCCCGAAGTCCTTATTGGCTGTTGTCGGTAATATTTTGCATGCAGCCGACATTTCTTGCATGTCTGGTACGTTTACGATTTTGTCCGCTGAGGGGCTCGAATCCGCGGCACACAGCGTAAGGTCCAGAAGCATTGACCATTCAACCCACGCCACCGGGTCGTGGAAGACTATCAATTGCGACCACTTGAGAGAAAAAAAACTTCAAGACAGGTCAAGAACGACACGCGCACTCTCGCTTAAGGGGTGATTTTGGCTGATGCGCTATAAACGTGATAAACCCTAGACTACATGCGAAAATGTACCTGATTCTTAAAAAAAACTAGCATATATAGATATAAATTCCATGAATTTGATATACAAAATTTTGATATATGAATATATAAGTCAGCGAGATCATGGACATGAGATCGCTTACAAAGCATCTTCTAATCAAGTGGCACTTACTCTTTATGGTAAAGACGCGTAGGTCTACGATATCGATCCAGTAAGCAAGAATTCAGATATCTGCTACGGCGACAACTATCTCTGGGTAAGGGCGAGATCAGCGTGAAAGAGGGAATTCAAAGGCGCCGATCGAGCTGATTTGAATGATTGCCTTTTACACAGAGGCATCGAAGATGTCGGATTTCATTCTGCTCTTCCTTGAGCCAAAGTATGGTGTGCGTAGGCTTTGCCGCGGCGCAGTCAGCAACATCGAGTCTGCAATGGTGTTTTATTATAGGGAACAAGCACGGAGTGCATAATGGAGGATGTGTCGGGCCAGAGATCAGAGAGTCGCTACGACTCTTCTCATCGGAGCACACCTACGTTTCTTCATCGAGAATGACTTACAGTCGTTTGTTACAAGAGCGCGCTTTTACCAGAGGTTTCTATTCACATACGATGGTGTGTACCGGAGAGGATTTTCGATTTCAGCAAGAAATCTGTAGGGTACAAAGAAATGACTGCAAAGTTGGATGTTAGTACTTTTGCGCAATGGCAAATAGTGAGAATTTAAGTGTGGTCCACATCCTGGTGTGCTGGTGTTACACTTCAGTGCAATCAAGAGGTACCAAAGTACTCGTACTGATCAGGACGATGGGACTCCGTATGGAAGAGGCAGGACACACGGCAATACAGATGACTTTACTGATGAATACAGTAAGACGTACATCTTCAGGATTAGTCTACATTCTTGGATGTATGTCACTATTGAAAGTAAATAAGAGCAAGGTAGCACAAAGTTTTCGAGAGGCGTTAATTCACGCCTTAGAAGCTTAAGAACCTACTCTCCGCGCGCTGTACACGCGAAATCTGAGTCAAAGCTATCTCGATGCAAGGTGCACAATAACCCCGTTGCAAATTCCACTCGACTAGTTTCGACATGTCCGATTTCTGGATGCGCAAGTGCGACGCTCCGGTGTTTTATTTGAAGCAGTTATTTAGAGCTGAATCAGTTGTTCTAAATCTCTCTCCTATTTATTGCATAGATGTTAGTTAAGGCGAATATATCTTTTGTCATTTCAAGAAAGCCTCGTGACCATGTATTTACGGTGGGTGGTAAATGATTTTTTGAGCTGCAAAAAGTGTGTCTGTATATAAGTCCAGTAGGTGCTGATTACTGTACTTACCTGTAATGCGGCGCACAAAATCGAGTATCGAATTTCCCGCGATATGGAGTTCTACAGTCGTGTGCTTAGCTGTACAACTATTTGTGTTGTCTCTGCGTTGAGTTGCCACTATTTCGGGGGAGGTGTCTCTAACAGGTGCACTGGGAACCCAACAGCTGGATTTTAAATCATTGCCGAGCTTTTGCTCAACTTGAGAAGTGAACCTACTGGGTGCGATGTCGTTCGTTACGACAATGGCAAAGATCTACCTGTACAGCAAGTAAATATAGGTGGAAATCGAACCAGCCGTTGGGGCTTATTGTTCAAAAACATCGGGACGTGGTTAATTACGTGTAGCCATAAAAATCAATGGCCCTCGACACGAAAGGTCCCTTCAGGCTTCTTTCGCACGTACAGTCGAGTCTACATGGGCTTCAGTGTGTCGATCTCGTAGAGTGTGCGGCCTCCGGTCGTTTATATATCGACAAAAATACTCTTTTGACATCATGCACTCCTGAAGGTCGGATTGCATGTGCTGCTGCGTTGCATGAATTAGACTTGCATTTTTCGGTCATCAACGCTCATAACGTCGTCAAGATGGAATTCCACTTGCTGCAAGGAGAGCGACTTCATCTTTATCACGAATACTGTAATCGTGGTGACTTGCTTGAAATCATACAACAGGAAATTCGTCTTCAAGTGGCAGGTGTGACCCCTCAAGCCTCTTTCGTGACAACTAGTACTGATTCTGGAAGACGCTTTATTTTTTTTTCCATACTACAAGGTGTAAACGCGCTGCACTCTGCTGGAGTTGCTCACATGGATTTGTCGTTAGAAAATGTCTTTGTTACAGATTCAGGCGTAGTCAAGGTTGGAGACTTGGGTCACGCCCTGCGATTTCGGTCAGATAAACCAAACGTGCGAATCTCCCAAGTCGCAAAAGAAGCTTATGCTGCACCCGAATTGTTAAGTCACAACGAGATCGACGATGCGCGCTGCGCTGATGCCTGGTCTCTTGGTGTCATTCTTTGGACTCTTTGCACGAAGCAAGCCTTGTTACACCGCGCGTCGCTCGAAAGTGACAGAGTTTTCTGCCAAATGGTGGAACATGGCACTACTACCACTCTTCAAGAAACGGATCTCTTATCCAATATACCAGCATCTTGCATAGATCTACTTGTTGGTCTTCTCGATGTGAATTCGAGAACGAGAATTTCAGTAGCGGCTGCGTTGCAACATCCGTGGGTAAGGCAAGAGACTGCAACACCCAAGCAGCATCCTCGACGAATGTCGATTGGCCACGTGATGAAGAAGAAAAGTGAAGCATTGATTAAGATAAACCAGCATCTTGCTGAGAAAGCGCTTCTTGCTCGCCCAAATAGTGCTGAAATCGCACTCGACTTGACCCGTATCACTCTTAGATCTCGAAATTTAGCTTAGATCACTTTTAAAATCGACCAGATATAAACACTGCTGAATAATAATACAGTCTTGAAACCAACGGATTGACTTTTAACCGCCGCGCCGCTAGACACTTGTCCGCCAAAATATTTTGATTCAGAAGGCATAAAGCATCAATGCGTCGACACTTTCTATGTGCTGAAAACGAAACAGAACGTAGCGTTGGCAAGGGCAAGGAAAATCTTCTTCAATTATGGCACAATCGACGAAATGCCATGTTAAATGGTGACAATTTGATTCACGGAGGTGAAGAAAATGCGTCCGTAACACGCGAATTGATGCAGCTCTGGGATGTGGCCAAACCTATTTTTTGTATTGCATTAAATCGCGAACAGTACGTTGAATTTTTCGCCAGAGTTGCCAAAGCACTCGTTTTATCGCTAAAATCCGATGCACTTGCCATTGCTGTAGCACAACGAGACTGGGAATATGATTTGGAAGGTGGAACTGGTGTTTATGAATCTGATAAAAACTCTCAAAGCGTCGACAATCGAGTTTTGATATACGAACAATTCTGTGAGGCCGTTATGCAAATCGCTGAGATCATATTGCCTGTTGAGAGTAGTGCCGGTGTATTTGCAATGTTTCTTATAGAGTTACGTCATTCCATCGCAGAAACTATTTTGCCTACTTTCGACTTAAAACCTGAGCAAGATGAGAACAACTCAAGTAAGATTGTTGATCGGTTCACGTTGAGACCATTCAATCAAGTCTTGAGAGTTTCGAGCGACTTATTTTCAAAAAAGTCGCTACTACTGAATGATTCGATGCAGAAGATTGAGGGTCTGCCACCTCCAAATGAGCGTGAAATGTCGCTGAAAGAGTTACTAGTTTGTTACAATCCGCGAAAATTCTCGCTCACTCGTGCTTTTGGTGGCATGAACGCTGCTATAGATACAGAGGAAACATTTGCCAGTACAGCAGAACTCATCCAAACGAGCCGAGCTGATAAATATGTTGATGACATGGAGGTTGCTCGGCAGGTGCATCTGGAGCTTGTGGGGAAAATTGGTATCGGAGCAACTCCTGCTTGGAGTCAAAAGCTTCACCGTGAAAAAAAAACAGTCTGGAATTATGAAGATGCAGTTATTGATACGCTCATTGACTTTCCTGCCTTAAAAGTTGCAGTTGTCGGGCCACCTGGATGTGGCAAAACTCGATTAGCTCGTATACTCGCACAACGACTTGGATTGAGATATTTGTCACAAGACGAAGTGGTCCAACAAGCTTTTCATCGTAGATGCCGCCTTCGCTGGCAAGAAGACACCGCTGATATACCTGCAAAAAGAGAAGAAACAAGATCATTAACTCAGGAAACTACAGAAGGACGCGCAGAGATCATCGATGTGAATAACGAAACGGATCGAGTTTTTCGAGATGAAGATTTTAATGCACTTTGTAAAGGACAAACAGTACCTCGTAGCTCGTCGCTCGCCCTTCTGCGTATCGAATTTAAGCGTTCAATACTTGGTACGTACGTTAATGCGTTGCGATGCCATAATCACTGATATATAATGCACTTGTTAATTTGTTTTGTAGCCGGCGTTGGGGTAGTACTGGATGATGTATATCCAAGCGAGCTTGCAGCTGTAGACGAATATGATTCTACTTTCACTGCCGATTATTTAGTAGCTCTCACTGCATCCCCTAGCGAAGTGGAATATCAACTTCACACTTCTGAGTTGGCACCTATATCGGGCCGTCTATACTCAGCTCGGGAGCTAGCGGTTTTAAGGGCGACAAGTAGTGACGTGCTACTCACCCAGAGTTTTGCTGATTCTCACGGGCTACCAGAAAAGTTGAAGGTAGGAGCTGGAGAAATCGACAGTTTAATTGCAAGAGACAATAAGGGCAATAAAGTCGATGTCCTTACAGAGGAGAACGATCAATCAGTTAATTTTGATTCACCACAACAAACGGTGCTACCGCCGGATCTAAATTTTGAAATCGGCAACGATATTGAGCTATCGAATGAGCATACGTTGCCCTTTGGCACTTTAAAAATGGTGAAAGTTGGGCTGGGATATCACAAGTACCTGAAACGTATTCAGCGTGAGCTCTCAATACGCCGAGCAGAAACGACAAAAAGTATTGGGTCGATCTGTCATTTGGTGGTTATTCTAGCGAATCAATCGTTTGGCGTCATCCAACACCATTCCATTCAAGCAATCACGGGGGTGCGTACTTTTATCTGTCTTGAATATTTATCTAATTTGTGTCATTTCTAGTCACTGCTTGGTTTATCGCGCTTCAGTACGTCACGTGAAGCCTGCTCTGTGGCTTTACCCGAGGAAATAAAACGTTCTAGCCGCAATGAACAAGTCAAGTGGCTTTTATATGGAGACTGGAATCCGCTTATTGCGGCAGAAGCTGCTAACTCTTTTGCTCGATTACCAAGACGTGATGCCCATCGCCGACTGCTATCGAAATGGCGTGAATTTTGTCCCGTGCTATCGACTTTGACCAACAAGCTATCTCATGGTGAGCCTGAATTCGCTGCATGTTACTCCGGTCGTGTTTATCTTTTGTCGTCACAAGACGCACGGCGTGATTTTTGTGCATGCCCACTGCAGTATTTGAGTCAGGATGTACCAGTTCCATCCACAGTTCGCAACATGTGGCTCATAACGACAGAAAACGTTAAATCATCGTACACTGAGAAACTTGGGGCTGGACTTCATGCACAGACAGTGTCTCCTTTAAATTTGCTTGAGATTTCATCGGCTCCAATGGACACGCGTCTCACGTGTGGACAGATCGTTCCGTCCATTGAAGCTGCGGCGGTAGCCGCAAAAGCCGTCAAGACATTGGTAGCCGCATCTAATACATCGAACAGATGGATGCTTACGGATCTGCCATTAACTCGTGATATTGCTACTATTTTGCTTGAACATGATGTCGTGCCCGATGTGATCTTGACGTTGGACAAGGACATGGCTATAGCTCAAGAAGATGATGTAGGCAGAAACACTCAACCAAATGAAGGCTTGGTAGTGCCACGTCGTCACCAAATACAGACTGATATGGCTTCTACTGACGAAATCTTGCAAGTTTTCGACTTTAAGCCTATATCTATCACGTGCCCTCTGTTTCGTAAGCCGAGTGATACGTTAGTGGCCATTGATCGTGAGCTAAATCCACTGGCACCGCGCTTGGATAGAATTAAAGACGGCCATATGCCCGAACTTGTTGATGGGTACGATCCGGCCACGATATTTGCGTCACCATTCTCAGAAAGCGATGACGACAAGAACATTGAAAATGCGTCGGAAGTCGAAACCTTACAATTGCAGATTAAAGCTTATGCTAAAACTGTTACGCTGCAGCTTCAGGGAGAGTGTGGTCGTTTTTGTCCAGTGTCTTGGAATACACGTAATTTGTTGATACCTGGACTACCATCAACTATTTGCTGCTTTCGACAAAAATTTTACACATTTGCTGGTGACACTGAGCGCCGTGCTTTCGAGCGAAACCCATCAGCATTCATTCTCGACGAACCTTTCTCAACCTCAAAATTTATTCCTTGGGTGCTGCTGCTTGGCGTTCGAGGCACTGGTCATAATCGAATTGCTGCAGCTCTAGATCAATCACTTTCGCAACGAGGTTGCTCTAGTGTCGACTATATAAACGTGGACATGACTGCGCTCGTCGAAAGTGCCGAACGCTATCAACAACTCGAAGAGCTTAAACCTGAAGAAGCACGACAAACGCGTGAAATAAATTTTGTTCGATCGCTCAAGCTTGAGTTACAACGTCACATGCCAACTCATGACAATTTGATCGTAAATGTGACTGCCGGGTTAGGGCCGGAAGACTCACGCATCCCAAATCCGACAGTTTTAGAAGAATGTTTTAAGCATGGCCTCTTTCCAGCACTCGTCATTCCTTTGATAGTGTCCGAGGAAAGAAATGAACGAACTTTGCTTACTCAATGGGTTGCCAACTATCGTCAAGATGTTGCCTTCACGCGAAAAGATGGTATTGGAGTTAATACTAGCCAATTTTTAAACGATTCCATAAATTTGGATGACGCCAGAGAAGAAGAGAGCTCTCGTCTACACGACCGTTTCACCAATGACCAAGAAGCTTTGGATGAAGCGATTACTAAACTTCGAGCTCGAGGCATCAGAGTGTGCGATCCAGTGGACGCAACCCAGACTATGAGACAAATGGTCAAGCAAGTGAAGACGATAGTGAATGAATTTATGGCAGGTCAAGAGGCGCTATTTGAGCGTTGTCAGGTTGTTGACATGCCGATGGGAGACGAGGTACTTAAAATGTTAGCGTCGGGAGAGCTTCTTATCGGTAAGCACGACTTGGCCTGTCCAGTGACTGGTCGAACAGATCCTTCATCGCCTTTACCCAGCAAAGCAGTAGTGTACCGGGACCAACTCTATTTTCCACGATCACGTGAGGCTTATAGTGCTTTTCTCGCATGCCCAGTCAAATATGTAAGAAAAACAAGCCACTCACCAAAACATCAGTCAACTTGTTGCGTGGTCGGCACTCCCTTTTCAGACACAACGCGAGTGGCTCGAGAGCTTGCAAAAACGCTTAAAACAATTTACGTATCTCCCGAAAACGCAATCGATTGGGTCATTCAGTGTCAGTGTGGTTCCAAATTGTGGTCTCAAATACTTGAAATCAAAGAGCAGCAATGCGATCCTCTTTATAGTCCTGACATCATCCATGAAGCTATATGCACTCGTTTGCACTCCTCCGAGTGCCAGACTTGTGGTTGGGTTCTTGACGGGTATCAGCTTAATCCTCACGAGCTGCAGCGCAGTCTACCAACGTCTAGTGATATTGATGCCGTGTCGCAAAGTATCAAAGCCGATGTGCTGTTTGTCTTAGAACGCTCTTTTGCGAGTGTGTGGAACGAGTGCCACACTAAGGTGGACCAGAGCACCCTTCAGGAAGCATCTGCACAATGGTACACGTTCCGCTTGGAGCTTATCGATATCTGGACTCGTCGCTTTACTGGCTTTCATGTTCGGCAACTGGACACCACAAACAGCTCACTCTGGCATGTGGTCACACAAGCTCAAGAATTTCTCAAGAGGCAGCAACAATTGGCGTCAGAGCATGCCGCTGCGTTGGCTTGTAACCGAGCGGCTCGCTCAATTGGTGTAGTGCGGACACATCAAGAGCTACAAGCTCGTCAGCATTCTGTCTATCAAACGTTCTGTCCGGTGGAGCTACGTGTGGGGCGATATGTTAACTCGTGCCAATCCAATCGAGATCTATGTGTTGACTTTCAAAATTTCACCTATTGGCTGGGAAGCACACAAAATCTTGAGCAATTTGTTGCGTGTCCTGAGGCATATATCGGGTGCTTGTCGGATCAAAGGCTGGATGAAGGAGATACCTTACGGTCAACGCGCAAAGAAGTAGAGAAGGTGGCCCAAGCACTCGTGGCAGAAGCTCCAGTCAGCGCTTCCTTTATAAGCTTGCTCACCGTACCAGATTGGATTTTTCCAGAGTTGAAAGGTTACTGCCCAGTCACATTTAGGTCGCGCGTGGATGCTAAAGATTGGTCTGCACTTCACCACGGTAGCATCTTTTACCGCGCTTCGTACCGCTCAAAAGTCTATTTCTTTGTCTCACAAGAAGCACGCCACCAATTCTGCGTCGAGCCATCAAGATTTATATCGCAAAGCTTGCCAGTTAAATTACCGCCGCAGGTCACATTGGCTAAGAACTATCCGGGTCGACTGGAACAAGAACTAGGAGCTACTCTTAACGAAGTACTGCTAGCGTTGGGAAGTGAGCGTCCCAAATTTCCGCAAATGTCTGTACGTGCTTCGGCTTGTGTTTATCTTGCCCTTTCACTCAAGGCATTGTATCAGCAAAAACGTGACCCTAATAGTTATGCGTCACAAAATGAAGAAGAATATGAGGAGGAGTATCAGCAAAGACAAGCAAGGCGAGCTGAACAGCATCGACGCAAGGCCTTAGCAAAGCGTGACGCTTTTGTGAACGATTGTAGGCTTGGGGAGAAACTCAAGGCCGCGTCTACACCATCACATCGATCCTGTGGTTCAGGTGCGATGGGTGCACGCACCGTGCGTGCTGCGCAGGACGCACTAAATGACAACCATTTATCAGGCTCTTTTGACTGTGAAGATGTTGAGCTGCTACGTCACCGATTCGACGCTATTGTTGATGGCAGGGCTGGTGAGGAGGACAAAGCTTTGTCAGCAGACCCACATACTGTCCGAATGCACGCGAGAGAAGCATTTTTCGAGTACACAAAGGCTTCAGCTGCTGATTAGTAATACGGCATGCCAAACTCAATAAAACATATCAGAAAACCATTTTGCTTTTTTTCCATCCTGAACTTGTAGCTCCACTCAACCATGCTTCGACAGCAGAGGCGTCGACTCGATAACGTCGATTGTTAGGTGATTTTGTTTAAGTCCCCAGTCACCACCGAATGGCGGCTTCCAGCGATTAAGTAGCAATGAAAAGAGGATCACCGGCACGGACGATAATAGTTCTGACAATCCAGCGAGAGCTGGAGGAATCCATATCCCGAGAGGAGCATACAATGCCCCACAAGCAATCGGCATCATCAGCAGATTGTACATAAATCCCCACGCAAAGTTGTGCTTAATACGTCGGTTAGTTGCGTTTGAAAGCGCTCGAGCATTAAGTAAATCGCGAAGATCATCTTTGACCAAGACAACGTCTGCAGCGTCAAGCGCTACATCCGTTCCAGCACCAAGTGCAACGCCTACGTCTGCTGTTGCCAGCGCTGGAGCATCATTCACACCATCCCCTACAAACGCGACGCGCAGCCCTAAACTTTGAAGTAAGCGCACCTTGTCAACCTTTTGATGCGGTAGACACTCAGCAAGCACCGAGCTTTCGGGCACGCCTAATGTCGCCGCCACAGTCTTGGCCGTGCCGCGCTGATCACCAGTCAGAATCCATGGTTGAATTCCGTAGCGCTTCACCTGTTCGATGACACGCTTAGCTTCCGGACGCAATGTATCTCGAAGTGCGATCGCCGATACTAATTCACCGTCAACAACAACAAAGACCACAATGCTGCCTTCAGACTGGAATCGTTTGTTTGTTAAAATGAACTCGGGAGGAACATTTAAAGTGCGGGAGCCAGCATACGTCTGCTGTCTTAGCCAAACAAGAGAGCCGAGATGCACATCGACACCTCGTACTGTACAGTGAACACCACATCCCGGTATGGCCTCAAATATTTCAGCCTCGTCGACTTGTGATCCTTGAAGATGGGTTATTGCGTGTGCTAGAAGAGCTCTACCAATGGAATGTTCACTGCTCTTCTCAACAGCAGCGACAAAGCTCCAAAGCTGTGATTCGGTCATAGATGTCTGCAGTGTAAAGACACTGGAGACCTCAAGTTGCGCACTTGTGAGTGTTCCTGTCTTGTCGAACACAACGGCATTAACTTCTTCAAATGCTTCTAGGGCGCGACCTCCTTTGAAAAGAATACCTATTTGAGAACCTTTAGTTGTCGCAATCATAATTGCTGTCGGCACAGCAAGACTGATTGCACAAGGGCAACTGATGACTAGCACTGTGATCGCGAAGCGCAGTGCAAACGGAAAAGGCGCCCACCCTTGTGTTTCAACTTGACCGTACATAGCAAGCGAATACCACACTAAGAATATCAGACCCGCGAGAATAATGATGAATGTTGTAAAATAAGCAGCCACGGCATCTGCAACGCTCTGGCGCAAACCACGAGAGGCCTGTGCTTCCCCTACAAGTCGGACCATGCGTGCCAGCATAGATTCATGAATGGTATGACTCACCTGCATGATTAAAACACCATGAAAATTAATAGATCCACCAATGACGATGTCCCCAGGCTCCTTAGCTACTTTATGAGCTTCACCCGTCACCATGGACTCGTCCAAAACACAAGCGCCTTTGACAACAACGCCATCCGTTGGTATGCGTGTTCCAGGAAGGACTTTGAGCAGATCACCACGTTCCACGAGCGCCACGTCAATGTATAACTCTTTTTCGTCCCCTTCTTCGAGCAAAATGGCTGTCTTAGCTTGCATCCGCAGCAATGAATCCACACTGTTCGATGCACGAGCTTTGACTAGTGTTTCAATGAACCGACCAACGAGAATGAGAGTAACCAGGAACACAGTGACTTGAAAGAATGTATTCTTTCGTAGCGAGTCGTCTTGAGCTGAGTGCTCAGGCAACTTTGTTAGTTGATCCGCTTGAGAATCTTGTGGTTGAGATTTTGCGATCGCACCAGAAACAACAGTGAAGATGGAAAAAGCGTACGCTGTGCAAGCACTCAGCGAAATGAGGACATCCATGGTAACGCGCCCACCGTAACGCAGAGCCAAAAAGGCGCTCTCGTGAATGGGACGCGCTATGAGGAAAAGCACCGGCGTCGCGCATGCTAATTCCACCGCATCCTTTATACTCAAGCGGTTTGCAGAGCCAAAAAATCCTACATCTTCTAGATTAGTACGAGACGATGGGTAAAGGACCGGCAAAACAAACTCGATGAGTATAACTGGTAGCGACAGCAAGCTGCTCCAGAGCAAGTGCTTAGCGATGCGTTGCATTTCTTCCGCACTCGCACGAACTGATGGCGTTCTTGGAGTTGATGCTTGTACGGCAGACCCTAGCTCTTGCGACAAGTAATTACATATTCGTCGAGCACCTATGAGGTCGGGATTGTACTCGACTATTAGTGCTTTGCCGAGAGCCTTCTGGTTTTTTACGTCTTTTACTCTAACGACACCGGAGATTGCCAGTGCCAGCTTCTGAGCTTGTATCGATCTCTCGGGTTGGCCAAAATATAGCATGACACTCACCAGATCGTCACTGGACAGCACACTTGGCTCAAATCCCAAGGAAGCCACTGTGTCTTCAATAGTTTTTGCCGTGACGAGTTGCGGATCAAAACAAAACACTCCACGACTTGTAAGCAGACTCACATTGACATCCGTGACTCCTCGCTGAGTACTCATAAACTTTTCAATGCGCGTACAGCAGCCATTGCACGTCATTCCACTAATGTTCAAGCGAAGAACTTCCAGTGACTCATTTGATTTAGTCTTTGGTCCTAAATTTGTAGACTGGAACCTTTGTTTCTCGAGAGAAGCCCCACGATCACGACGAAACTCCATCAATCGCTCTAAGAAACTCGAAGATCTCTCAGGAGGTGACAGATCCTGCGCACCAATTGAGTAGCAACCTGAATTTGAGGGCTCTTGATTAGCCATAAGAGGAGATGAGCAGCAATTACCAAGAGAAGGCGTCTGAGAATTAGACATGTAGAGCTTCGACGTCTTTACCTTGTTTCGGTTTCCACAACAATCGTCAGCGTCGGCCTTAATACTCGCTGCTTTCGAGCAACATTTAGACAATGATGTCGTTTTGTTTGACTCACAAATGTTACGATCATTTGCATTAATAGCTATTCTATTGGATACGTAGCAGTAAGGGCTACTCGATGCCTGGACCACTCTCGACGCACAACATTTCTTTTGAAAGTCTATCGCTGATACATCCGGATCATTTAAAGTTGCACGCTGCTTTGACGAGCAGCAATTTAATGGCTTCGAACCAGTTTGATCACAAAAATTGTCTATATTCGTGGATATGTGGACGACCTTCACATCAGTCTTCATGATTTCAGCTCTCTTCTCGTTGCAGTTTGACTTGTTTTTGAAAGAGCAGCTTTCATCCATCTTCTCGTCATTCTTTCTTTTGCAGCAGCTGCCCATTTTCATTTTCTCTTTGTTTGCACAACTATCGATAGCGTCAGCCTGCGCATCAATCACTTCTTCGTCGTCGTCACCGCTCGATCCGGACACAGTAGTTTTCCCCTCGTCGCTATTGAAACCATCACAGCAATTTCGCGCGTACGAAGGATCCGGTAGCCCAGCATTTGCAGATCCGTATGACTTCAATGAGGCTTTTCGACGACGACCCTTGCGCTTACCCATCCTGGTAATAACGTTTGATAATTTTGTTGTTTGATGCTTCGAACAATAAGTATTCCTAACCCTGACCGGTTACGTTATTCGTATTAGAGTGCTGTGTGCCACACCATCTGATAGTGTTGGCCACGGTTGGCCCTCGAACACCTTCAGTTCTTTTCTATCCTTCACCATGGCCGTTTCCAAGACTTCTAACGTTGTACTCGCCCGTGGCATCAACGCCATCTCACGCAATAGCCTCTCAAAGAAGAATGGTCGCGGTATGATGGTTAAAAAGGGTGGCGAAAAGAAGGTTGTTGCCAAGCAGAAAGCAACGACTCGAAAGTGGTACCCTGCTGACTTCATCCCTAAGCCACTTAAGTCAGCCAAGACAAAGCGCAACAGTGTAAAGACTGCGAAGCTGCGAAAGTCTATCACACCAGGCACAATTTTAATTCTACTTACTGGTCGCTTTCGTGGCAAGCGTGTCGTCTTCCTTAAGCAATTGGCTTCAGGTCTATTGCTCGTTACTGGTAAGTTACAGCAGAAAGATCTTTCAATGTCTGGAGCCAACATTCCAGTGATGCAAACTTGACAATGCGAGAAGCATTTCGCCGTCCGTGCCTATCTATTGGTGCTGATGTGTGCCAAGTCTTATGGCTTTTCGCGACTTGCGTCTCTTTTTAATGAGGAGATTCATGTTGTGGATAGTCTGGGATCCCTGACACTTGTTAGTATCAGTGGATAGCAAAGATGAATTCATGCTAAAGATTTATATGATTATGAGACCTGAGGGATAATGGCTCCAGGGCAGTATAGCATCAACTCGTTCTAGGCGAACTGACGCTGTGTAATTGATGGATTAATTCAGGTCCGTACAAAGTCAACGGCGTACCCATTCGTCGTGTGAACCAGTCTTACGTGATTGCTACTTCGACAAAGGTAAATATCGAGGGGCTGAATCTTCCAGCCATCGATGACGCCTACTTTGCCAAGGAGAAAGCTGCCAAGAAGAACAAAGAGGATCAGTTTTTTGCACAGTCAAGCGCGGTAAGTCTTTGGCTTTTATCTATATCTACGGCCCATGTGAGCGTCCCATTTCGGTTGGTCAATTTCGAAATACCTACTACACGGTCTTTCTACAATGTGTGATTGTCATGCATTGGAGGCTGAGGGTATTGAACAAATTTGGTTCTTTATAGCATGACGGATTGAGAGGAATAATGTTTTATAAGACACCTACCACGTCCTTTGAGCGCTTGGGATCGCTTGCTTCGGCACATAAGCTCCCTATTAGACGCTGACTATGTTGCTGTTATTTTTCGTTTTAGGCTCCCGTCATCCCAGAGCAGCGCAAGCAGGACCAGAAGGCTGTGGACTCGGTTCTGCTGAAAAAGCTTGATGCTGAGCCGTTCCTTAAGGCCTACTTGAACGCTAAATTCTCGTTGACCAAGAATGACCGCGTCCACACCTTGAAGTTTTAAAATTTGCTTTAGCAAAATGTTATAGCGGCATAATGTGTAATGGCTAAAAGACTGAAAGAACATATATACTTGCTGAAGTAATTTACCAGTTGATGTATTCTTAATACCATGCGTTAGCTCACCAGAGAAGTTGATAAACATAAGGTTACAGTTACCTGCGTTATGCTTCATAGTGCAATGACTTCAGGCGCAGCGACAGTTTGGATGCTAGATATTGTTACGCCACACATAGATTAAAAAAGTTTTGTTGCCTGACTTTAGCTAATGTTAACGCTTTCTGGACTCGATATCACGATGAAAACAGCGAGCCGAGCATGTCACAAGAATTTAGATGCTTCAGAATTTGCATTCAATCTATGCGAGAAGAATGGCTTTCTAATACTATGAGCACGTTTGGTTGACTTTTTTGTAAAGCCTTTTTCTAGCTATCGTTCTCAATCATCCATCGAAGTGTGCGCGCTACCGTATCAATATCGACTCTATGCAATGCGCTGTAAGCCAAGGTAAAAACTTAGAATTCACGCTTTTGAATCATGGCAATCGTTCAGCACTGACCTGACTGGAAGTACAGCGAGATCGGTTGATTGTCGCAGCCTGTGAACATTATTTTCAGCGCCTGTTACACAGCACCACAGTGTTACTAGAGCTAACAATCGAAGAGGACACTTCCAAACTTTCCTTGCTCATCCATCTTGTTCGCAACGATAAGAGAAGGCCGCGAGGAAATTCCAGGAGCGTACAGCTCCAGCTCTCGTTGTAAGTGGTTGAAATCAACTAAAGGATCTCGTCCTTCAGAACCTGCTGTATCAAGCACATACATCAAAATCTACGATTTGTGCATCACACCCATTAGTACCCTCACAGAGCACTTGACACTAATTTATACCTTTGTTCGTTCAATATGGCGCAAAAAGTCGTGTCCTAGACCGACATTGCGGTGCGCACCATCAATCAGTCCTGGAATGTCCGCCACACTCAGCCGATATGTGTCTGGAAACTCCACAATGCCCACGTACGGATGAAGTGTGGTAAAAGGGTATGGTGCAATCGCAGGAGTAGCACGACTCAGCACACTGAGCAAGGTAGATTTGCCAGCATTAGGATATCCCACAAGTCCAACATCAGCAATGGTTTTGAGCTCCAGCTCGTAATACTGCGATGTACCAGGCGACCCTCTCGTCTTGTTTTCAGGCATTAGTTTGCGTAGTCGTCCAGATTTGGTCGTCTTGCCAGCCAAAATGCGGTTACCTAGTCCAGGTTTACCCCCTTTTGCAGCCAAAAAAGTTGTACCTGGTTTGTCCAGGTCAGCCACAACCTCCATTCTGTCCACAACCTCATACTCGCCAGTATCCATTTCACGCTCGTAACGTTCGACACGCTTAACGAGTGTGCCACATGGAACCTTAACGTAACAATACTTGCCTCTCTTTCCAGCAGAATCGTTTGCTGCAGCAAAGGGACGAATACAACAGTCAGCACTGCGCTCAATTAAATTATCAGATTTATTGCAGGACGTACGCATGCCGTTGGTGCCTGATTCACCTTTAAAATGATGAGTAGCATTTGCTAAATTCTGCACTTTATCGTTGGCTTCAATTATCACGTCACCTCCTGCACCGCCGTGTCCTCCATTAGGACGCTTACGCGTCGTTGACTCGGCAACAAAGCTCGCACAACCGTTGCCACCGTGACCACCTGTGGCCTTGATGCGAATGCGGTCGACAAAGCGGCGCTTCGAGTGCTGTGCGCGACGTATGCGTACCTTTTGCTTCACGTGCTCCTCCACATTATAGCTCACATTTTCGTTCAGTTTGTCCAGATCATTCCAGTGTAACTCTTGATCGTCCACTTCGAGCTCCACATCATCATCATCTCCGTGTTTTTGTACACTTAACGCACGCATTGATGGGAGGCTTTTAAGCGACCGCGGACGCAATGGCGCAACAGTCAATCCATTAAGCAGCTTCGATAGACAAAACATGGTTTGGCCAGTGTTTGTCGATGTAAAACATAATGGCATTTTTAAATCAAAATTTAGGAATGGCAGGGAGAAATGGCGACGACTTTAACCGTTTGTATGAGCGGCTGGTGGTGCAGCGAACAAGCATACAAAGGCAAGCCAAGCGAGCGATCCATAAGGTATCTACACGTGCACATCCCGAGGCTGAAACGCAGCACAAAGCTTCCGTAGTAGCTCATGAATTTGAAAAGATCAGACGTCAGCAGCAGCAAGAGCACGACGCAGAAGTGGCCTGTAGAATGAAAAATCTTCATCTTGCCAGAAATCTGCGTGGCGCTGCGCAAAGGATAGATTGTAGCCCCCACCACCTTGCGTTAGTTCTAATTGACGCTACTGAGAAGAGTGAACGTCTGTTTCTGAAAAGGTATCAAAAGACTAAAAGACGACGTACTAGACGACAGGAAGCACTATATTCGAAAATGGACCGACGGATACGACTAGAGAGAATCGCAGCCAGGTATATTATCATTATCGCTGCACCAGCCAACTTGGCTGACGTGATGCCGATGGGTGCTATACCCTATATGTTAGGCTATTCCTTCGGCGAAGTGATGTTTTTGAATCCCAAACAGCTACGACGATAGAGGGAAGGCATCGTGCGATCGATGAGCTGCTCTTTTTCTCTCCTCCATACTCAAGACTTTTGTCTCGAATTGGATATGCTGGAAGAGGAAACGTAGTGCCTGCTGCACCTCGGAGATTGAACAAAGTAGGACATGTTTTCATAATTTTGGTAGAGGTAACATCACTTACTTAACTGAACCAACGATAGAGTTCCGGTTCATGAGCAATCGTGTCTCAGCAGCTCCAGCGTAACCATCTTTCGAGAAAGCAAAACCATGATATCCTCTGTGCATCGTCGTCCTATGTTGTGGCTTGGGTCGACTACTCGTTGGAAGCACAGAACCATTTTTAACTGCGGGATTTTTTGCACAAGGAAGTCGAGCTGGTGTCGCCACTGACGCATCACTATTGTCATTCCATTCCAAGAGCTTGCAATCAAGCTTAAACTTCATAACCTCCTTTGCGAGTTGCCAGTACTCTGGAAAGTATGTAGACTGAATACTGTTCAGTAAATGAGTGTACAGGAGCGTAGCCACGGGAGCTAGCATGAAAATCAGCCAAAAAGCCGAGAGCCCAAAGGCTTGGTCTAGCATTAACTCCCACGTGAGATCCGAGAGAAAATAGACGTGACTACAGATCAAGGCGATAAGGAGCCAGGCCAGCAATGACCCAATGTATAGGATACAATTAAGAAAGTGGAAACTATTTTGATACATGATGAGCTTGACGTTAGCGACGGACACGACAAGAGTAAAGACCATAAACCCCTCCAGCCACATTGTTGGACTTGATCCAGCATACCCCGCGCTTTGAAAGCTGTAAATTGTGATGAATGTTATGATGAGGCTTTCTAGAATTGCACCTAAGACCCAAAGCGAGAAAGAGTGGGTGTTGATGTCTTCATCGCGAGGCCCCGTGAGATAAAGTTTGGGATAAGTGATAGCGACTTCATCACTAACATCTTGGTCCAATATTGAAGCTGCGACAATGGGAATAGCTGTAAATGCAATGTTGTACAACTGAGAGCCGCTTTCTAAAAAGAACTTTTGGCCAGAAAAGCCACACAGGAGAGTGTACCAGTACTGAGCAGCGGTAAAGAGAATATTTTTATAGAAAATGTAAAGTACCAACTGCGCCATACGCCGGTAATTCCAACGACCGTGCACGAGTAACAATCGCTGCAAATAGCGAAACTGTGCAATAGCGTAGTCGCTCGAATTCACCGCCTGCATACCTTCCTGACCTGAAATACCCACTCCAATGTGAGCTTCTTGGATCATCGAAACGTCGTTTGCCCCATCTCCAATCGCTAGGGTTCGAACACCAGGAACAAATTCTTTGATCAAAGCGACCATTTCAGCTTTTTGAGCCGGTGAAACTCTGCAAGCAATCACGGCTTTACAATACTGAGAAAATTCAGCCAAAAGTGCACGACAAGGTCCACGAAGGGCAAACATGAGTGTTTCACCATCAATAACAAGAGCCAACTCGCGCAGTTCACCTCTAGTACTTGGTGGTGAAGCAAGGTATGCCGTGACGTCAGCATTGCGAATAAATATCTCTTCCCTTAGAAGATTTTCGAGTCCTTCAGAGGTTGGAGCATTTTTTGCATTGATGATAAAAAGCTTCATTTCGTTTACAACAAGCTGACAAGCAAAACCAATGTTGATGGCAGTCTCCTCTTTATCGCCTGTGAGTACCCAGATCTTGATTCCCGCACGAGCTAAATTTCCGACTGTGTCTGGAACACCTGATTGCAGTTTATCTTCAATCGCTGTTGCTCCGAGCAGTTCAAGGTCGCACTCAATCTCATTCATGCAAGCATCAATTTCGTTCGGAAGATCTTTTTTGCGTTTGTCAATTTCATCTAAATTATTCTGGGCATCATGAAAACGTGTAGCCCATTCAGCATAATAGGAAGGCACAACTTCTCGAACTGCGATCGTGAGCGTACGAAGTCCATCTTCCGCGTACTGATTAATGTGGCGGCGGGTTATCTCTTGTAAAAGAGATAAACTTGTGTCCGTCGCCTTATCGTTTGCAAGTAACCCATATATGATCACATCGGCACCTTTCGAGTACAAAAAAACCTTACCGTTTGGATGACGAATGATTGTGCTCATGCGCTTTCTTGTGCTATTAAATTCAAGCACGTCCAAAATTTCGTACTTCTGGTTCACTCCGCGAACGTTTACGTGAGCAATTCCAGGAGATCGATTCACAAATTCATACCCAAAGAATCCTGCACCTGCAACAAGTGCCTGCTCATCAGGAGATGAAGCCGATAGTGTAACGTGTGGCGAATTCTCGTGACGTTCCGGAATGACAGTATGACACACGGCAAGGTGTGTAAAAAAGGCATCAATGCGTCCTTGCTGAATTGATCCCGACTTCCCCTTCATATCGTCAAACAACTCTGGACCATCAAAATTTACATAAGGAACTTTCGGCCCCTTTAATTGTGTAGTTAGATTTGGGAGAGGTTTTCCGGCACGCCGGAGCGCTGCTAATCCGATTTCAGTAGTGCCGTTGCCGTACGAGACACCACCAATCGAACACTTTCGAAATTCCATCACATTGCATGTCAGAGTGCCAGTTTTATCCGAGAAAATGTAAGAGATCTGCCCAAGTTCCTCGTTAAGCGCCATTGAACGCACAAGAGTCGGCGTGTCTGTGTCAGGATGATAAATGTTGATGTCATATTGAATAAATTGCGCTTGAAGATACTTGACCATACTCATAGAGACAGCTAGCGAAATGGGAACAAACTGGTACATGAGTAGTAGATAGTAGAACAACATGATGAGCCAGTCCAACACAACTCCGTTTTCAGACGCAGTCAACGCAAGATACCACACAGACTTGTTTTTGGCCTTCCAACTCACTGCTCCTGTCGCACCAACAGCGCTGAAAATAACCAGAATGAATAGCAACACGATCGTGTACTGGTTGATGGATCGGTCCATGGAACTCATCTTAGATGGAGGGGCTGAATTACTCATCATAATCTTTGTGTCTTTACCAGTATTTAAAACAACACCATGTACCCAGTCAGTGTTGCGAATGATACACCCACGTAAGATGATACTTTCGTACGGAATCGCGGCATTATCTTTTCCAACAAGCTCAAGCACACCTTGAAAGGAATTGATTGCATTGTTCGGGTGTTCACACCGAACGACACCTTTCATTTTGGCCAAATTGTCGATTGAACCCATGTCTGTTAAAGTGCGCTCCATGGCGGATCGAACCTTCATATTCGTTTCTCCATCTAAAGACTTGGTTTCAACATAGCAAATACCGCAAGGTGGTTGATTTGGAGTTTCACTCACAGCAAGTACAAGTATATCAGCTGGTACGAGTCCACGATTCGAAATTTTGACGATATCTCCCACTACGACGTCAGCCCACGGAGATGATTTAAATTGTCTGGATTCACGATCCAGCACGAGAGTTGGACTAGCATTGGCACTATCGTCGGCCTGATGGCGTTTGTGATCTTCAAGAATCGCAAAGACACCATCAACCGCTATGATGAAGACTAGTGGGGGTAATGTCGAGGGATTACCATTTGTGTTACTTATCTCTGGGATACACTGTAAGATGCAGATAACAAGAAAATAAAGGTTGGAAAGTTTACGAAAACTTTCGAAGAGAAACTTAGGCAGAAAGCTGACAATAGTGTACTTTGACGTAACAATGAAATTACTGCAGTAACCGGCTTCGCTGTTGCGATGCGCGTCGTTTAAATGGACCAACCGAAAGTCGCCTGAAGCTCCTTGGTCCATTATGCGATCACAGATGAGAAGAAGAGTGCAAAGTTCTGATGAAGCTGGCAGCGTGTAAGAAAAAGAAAGTTCAGAGTTCAGCTGAAATTGGCGGATCAAAGGCGAAAAGTCCCAAGTGAAGTCAATCTCTGAGTATGAGCATAGTGAGAAGTGACGAAGGAGTTTCGCTTTCGTATCTGGTGTCAGGCTAATAGTGTTACGGCACATGGGTATGAAATTCTATAAATGTATCTCAAATGCCAAGTGAGAAATACTTGCATGAAGCACTAAGTAAAAGCGCTCAGATCTCTATACAAATCATCCATCCTGCAAACTTTGGTGAATTTCTATTCAAAAACTGCTGAATGCACTTCTACATTTTTCAAATTCATGTTTTATTAACTTCGACAAACATTAGCGGTCGTTTCTGTTGTGATTCTTGCTCAGAATGTTAAACTTAAGCACTTGGGGTTAGACAGGTGACGCAAATTTCAAACAAACCATCGTTTGAGTGCCACGCGATTTGATGGCGCTTTTAGGTTGTCAAAGCCGGAAACAGACGTAGTCAGAGGTGCATGTGAGGGCGATCTTTTCATTGCTTGCTATCTTGAAAAAAGCGCTCTATACCTAAAGTTGTGCAGGTTGAAGTGATAAAAATGGAAGCACTGTCGTAAAGTCGAATTACGCAACGATCAGTTTGTTAGTATCCAAAAGTGCCCTCACTATAACATTTTTAGCCGACTCGACTGAGTGACTTTCGATCAAGAAATCTGATGGCGAATTCTAACCTGAAGGGCATTTATGTGAGTATGCGGCATTTATCTAAACGTCAGCACGCACCGAATAGATGAAGGCTCCGGGCACACTTGCGCACATTCCCTTTTAAAGCATAATTTTGAATTGGATGACCATATACTGGAGTATATATCTCTGTTAGCACCAATCATGTTGGTTTTCTTGTCAGTTGAGACACAACGCTAACCTGCAGTTTACATCGTTGCGGCGTCGTAGTGAGAATTCATTTCATGTGAAATATAGAGGTATCGCCTATCTCTCCAAAACTTCGTTGGGGAGACTTTCAAAGCAATTGTATGCCGGTCTAGCGCTACATTTCTGCAAATGCAAAGTTAATCGTGCACGTGGCTACCTGAGCTTAGAAAAGAACGTAACATCTTTATAGTTATATCTTCATCTGCACATTGAATACGCCACAAGATTACAAACTTGCAACGTCAGGTATTATGTATTATCTCATGAAAAAGAAACAGGTAACACCGACACAAAACTGAAGTGGTATTGGGTGCAAAAAATGTATCCAAGTATGTTGCCCACAGAGTGAATAAAATTGCTTGTGGGTCAACGCGGCGGAGCCATGGACGCAAGTCGTTTAACTGAAGCGTAAGCAGATTATTGTAGCCAGCACGTTGTATTGGCTGGCAGGCTTGAATGCTGATTTGTAATTCCATGGCTAGGTTATCCTTCACGACCATGGTGAGACCAGAAATAGATCTCAAGATCATCTGCCAACAGCCTAGTGGCACACTTTTCATTTATTTTGCCAGAGTTGCTCCTCCTTCCTAATTCTGCCAAGTATTCACGCAAATGGCAGAATTGTGGTCATTTATTCTTCTGTCGAGCCCGAACGATTACCACCTAATGTATGATACAGGCCAATATGTACAAACAGACGTGTTCTTGCGTCCTGAAGAACAAGTCGGACAGCGAGTTAAACCCTGGATTACCCTCCGCACCCACCTTGTGCCAGTCTGGGATACATTCGCCTGGTATTTCGAGAAAATGCCGCCCAAGCTCTGTGCACACTTCGTCACAAAGAGCAAGAAGCACAAAAGCTAGACGACCACGTACACAATCAGGATCCCATCCATGCGTCGGCCTTTGAGGTCGTCGACTAGGCTGATTTTCATGATTTCAAAAACAGCACCAGTCAATAACGCCTGTTTTTTTTCACTTTTTTCAAAGGATCAAGGGCCCCCAGCTCAGTGGATGGGATATACTCAACACACTGTGGGTGCCCTAATTTGCCTTTATTTGGGCTGTGCAGGCGGGTCAATTACACATATTGTGCAGCGGAGCCGCCGTAC